TGCATGTCGAATTTTTCAGTCCCGATCATTCAGTATTGACTTTGACCAGTTATTTCGGATATCAATTTCCGTTCTAATATTTCTATAAGTCGAAGTCATTATCCGGACCTATCACCCATTAGATTCACAACCGAATATATGACAGATTAGATAACGTAAAATGCCCGGACTATTAAATATAAGATAAATGACAAGCTTATACACACAACGTTGTATGTAATAACGTTGCTATTTAAACAGTTCATATTATAGTGATCGATAACAGCGAAAGTTACATGGACATTATTTTTCTGATTTTATTTAGTCGTAATTCTGTCGTTTATACTTGTTCGTGATTTTAACTACATATACGTTTGTGTTATATTTTATTAAGACGTGTGTTTTCTTTACAATGTCAAATAAACGGTCATTGAGTGCTTAAATGTTGGTGACAATTATAAAGAAGTTGAAAAGTGTGAAAGAAAAAGATATTATGGCAGATTAACATTCCTGCGCACGTTGTCATCAATTTTGAAAATAAAGATAAATTGTAAAATATTGAAGATTCTTCGTGTTCACCTCAAAGAAGAAATTGAAAGTTTCAATTTTCTGATTGAGGATAATGTTAAGCGGATGCATAGAGCAAGAGATCATAACCTTCCTGTGTCAGGGCCCCTGATTCAAGAAAAGCAAAGAGTTTGCTCAGAACTTGGACTTGAATTTCACGGTAGTTCAGGTTGGTTACATAAGTTTAAATGCGAAATGAATTATTTCAAAATAACATCAGGAGAAAGTGCTGCAGTATCGGAGACCGATTGTAACGATACGGACCAACATTTTACCAGGGTTAAATCAAAATTATAGCGAGCAAGATATTTTAACTTGACGAACTCGGTCTTTTTAAATGTTACCAGACAGAACTTTAAGTTTAAAGGTGACTCTCATGGTGGAAAAATCAAGAAAGAATCAGTTATTAGGTGCTATATGGTGGCAAGAAAGTAAACTTTAGTCATTGTGTAATATCAAAACCTAGATGTTTTAAAATGCAAAATCATTACGCAATATGAGTTTAATAAAAGCATGATGACTCTCAAATTTGAAGTTTTCTTACAAAAGGGATAAAATTGTCAATGAAAAGAAATGAGCATGTACCCAACTGAAGCATAACATACAGAAACTTCGAGATACCGGAGTTCGAGATACCGAGATTTCACTGTATTATTATTATACATTATGATTTCTACATCATCAAATAATTGCTCTACATCAGTAACAATACCGGAACAATCAAATAAACAGCAACATAACAAAATATTTATGAAAATATACCACACAGTCTATTGACTGAAAAAAAAATGTACTGCAATAAGTCATGTAATAATGAAGTGCACTCGAACGCGATCTTTTATGACAGCGGACATATCCGAAGAAGACAATACTTATAAGTTATAAAGTAGAAAAAAAATGAAAAAGAAATGCATAAAAACGAAATCGAAGTTGATAATTTATAATTAAAATGTAATACTAATTAATTTGTCTTGACGATTCGATAATTAAGATATAATTATCACAACATGGACTAGGCCTACCGGGGAAACCATGTAAAAAAAAACGCGCCATGCTTCTACCTCAATGGTGGTGTGAAAAACAGTTGTAAAGCGAGTAATAAAAACAAAAGCATCTCTGTTTATTTTTCCAAGTATTTCAGGACAATGTGTCAATGTATAACATTTTAATTATTTACATTTGAAACACAGTGTGTAATTTCAAAACTGGTACCTTATGTTAACTAAGTTTATAGATAAGTTACCTACCTAGTATATAAAATTAAAAATATTTATATTTATACATATTACCTTGCAGCTTAAACATTTCCATTTCGTTAATATTTTCTGATTATAAACATGAACAAATTTAATTTTTGTAATGTCTAATATTCAAATTACAATATTATTTGATACGAAAAAAAAATAATTAGTTTATTATTTTATCTAAGTATACGAATAGAACAATAACAAGTAATGAAGTAAAATCATAAAGATTGTAAAAATCTCAACTAAAATAAAATTGTAACATCAAATGTATTACATAAACGAAGTACCTACTCCGATACTTGATTATATTTACAAATATCTTTATACTTATTTCGCAATACAAAAATCCATATTTATTTGAAAAATCTTGGGATATTATACACAGTGTTTTATTTTAAAAATAATCTTGTTGTCATTCCACGAGCTCACGGGCATACAGCATAAAATAACCTAACGAGAAGATTGTGATAAGTAATAACACATAGGTAATTTATTTATTTCCGAACAGGAAAATCTCAAATTTTGAAAAATTTAGTAGGATATTGTCAAATGCGTGAATGAAGGGGGGACTGAAGGATTTACGACTTATTTTATGGTAAATAATCGGAATAGACTATAGTTTTATTTTTATAATATGCAGTATCTAAAAAATAAATAATTATGTATTTTAATATCTGCGACGAGGAATGAGGGGACGGGATCTTGACTTCTGTGGGGTGGGGCCATCATTGCGGCATTTACTATGGCTATCAATTGCCTCATCCGCCGGCCGGCGTAATTTGGTAATCGAATCAGTGAGTGACAATAAGGTGGTGCTATTGGTGGCTGTTGCACTGGGACTTCGACGGGTTCAACTTTAACACCATCATAGCTAGTCGTCACTAGATATATATTTGGCATCGACTTACTATAATATGTTCTATTGATTGAATTTGGGAGTACTTGACTTCTCAAAACTTTAATTGCCAGACCGTTGAGTTTTTCTGTAGAAATAGTTTCTATTGAAGTTGCAGTAATTTTCATTTCGTTTGTCATACTTTCCATTGTTAGATTATGAATATAATAATATGTAAGTACAAAAAGTTTACGTTACGAGGAGTAAACCGTGCGGTATGCTTTCTGAAACGATACTAAATGCAAACAGTTATTTCACAAGCCTTTTATACCTTAATACTAAATAGTTGACAATAGTAACAACATGTTTTCAATTATTTACTTATTTAATTAAATATCGCCAACTAGGCAAAAGTAGTTCATAAATAATCAAAGAACAGACAACAGAAAATAAAATATAAAATATCGATTAAAATTAAGTTTTACATTTCAATTATTTATTCAAAACCTAAACAGTGGAGTTTAAATTTTTCATGAAAATAAAAGTCAAAAGCGAGGAATTCCCATGGAATATGATTAAAACTCTAAATTGTAGGAAAAATTAGAATTTATTAATTTTACAATTTTTGTTGATATTTTAGTGTATCCCACATTTTCCTTCTTGATGGATAGAACATAACGATACATATTATTACGAAACTCTTGAAAATACAATTTTAGATACTAGTGTAATGATACGCTGACATTCGGATGACTCGCATTTAAAAAATCGCATTCATATTGACACGTGTTGATGACAATGAGGGTTAAGACGCGTGAATTTTTTATGTACAGTAAGAGACTATGGAAGTTCAAATACAGGGCTCTATTACCCAGGACAAAAATAGTTTCTTAGGAACTGCAAAGTCATTTTATGAAGCCACCAGCTTCTCAAATTGGATTGACCTTAAAGTCTTCTAAGTCAATGTATGCACATCAATTAGTAGAGAAACACCTTTCAACACCGATTCTACGAGGGACAACTGGACTAGACTTTTCTAAGAGCTACACCAGTGTTTTTTTTTATTTGGACTCAAGTGTTCAAAGAGTTTTCTTTTTAAATGTGTTACCTTACTTTCTATAACTATCGTAACAAATACACTGCTGCAAATCAAGTATAGTGCATGATCACAATAATATACTAAATATTATTAATATAGTTTATATATTAAATTGGCTCTGATCCAACATTTTTTTTTCTTTTTAATATTTAAAAAGCATACAAAAAAATACTGTTTAGTGATTAATTTGTTACATTATAATGCCTCAACAAAGTTGATAGTTGAGTATTTATTGACCACTGAAAAAATGTACATTAAAATTCTAATACTTAAATAATGAAATGTTTAATAAAAGCATATACACATAAATTATTATTATACATAATAATGTATTTTATTACATTCAAACATTTATAACGTTTGGACAATACTTATAAATTAAATAAAACTATTTATAAAATCGCTCAACATTACTATACTCATATAATAAAATAAGGATATTAATTAATGTAAATAATAATTTTAACTAAAAAAATATTATCATGCTAAAATTAAAAAATAATAAGAATTACATTATTTGCATGAAACTATTAGCAACCCATGAAATTCAATCGTCGAATAAATATTTGGGATATAAACAACTAGTTGACTATTGTAATTGTATCGTGTTGTTCATACAATTCGCACATAAACATTTGAAAATGGATCATAGCGACATAGCCATAATTTCATTAAAACGATTTTTTTTCCATATCGTTTAGTACGCTGTATATACTGCAAAAAGATAAAACTATTTAAGTCGGTGTACAAATGTAAGGACTGCACTAAAATTTGCCATAGAAAATGCTACAAGCAATTTATCAAATCGGAGCAATCACAAATATCTAAAGATCCAGAACCTATCGAACCAAATCTATAAAACCATAAAAATGAAATCGTTGCCGATGTTTCTATTGAGTCTTTGTGTACTGTTACGTCTGGTCTTTCACAAAGAGTTGCGGATACTTCTTCTAGTGTAGTTGTGAAACCGCCTTCACCAACATCAACTCTTTCGAATGTGTCATCGTATCCTGTCAAGTCAAGCCCTTCACAATATGTTGTGGAAATCGCTTCTAGTTTAATTGTAAAACCACCTTCACCAACACCACCAACTTGTTTTGTCTCATCACAACCGCACATGCCTAAGTGTAAACTTTTACAGCATGTTTCGGAAAGGTCTACGAGTTTGGTTAAAAAATCGCTTACGCCAACAACACCAACTATTGCGGATATGCCATCATGGGTATTCAAGACTAATCGTAAGCTTTTATAAAGTGATGCGAATATTTCCACTAGTGTAGTTGACAAACCACCTTTACCAACGACAGCTATTGTTTCTAATATGTCATCATGTCCTGACAATTCTTATCCATTACTAATTGTTGCGGAAACCTCTAGTTTAGACGTAAAATTATCTTTGCCAACACGACCAATTGTTTCTTATGAGGCATCGTCTCTTGTGAAGTCTAGTTCATTATCAAGTGTTGCGGAAACCTCTTCTAGTTTAGTTGTGGAACCACTTTTGCCAACACCGACTGCTGTTTTTGATGTGCCCGATTGTCCATCCAAGTCTGATCCTTTAAATTATGTAATTTAAAACTTTATTTTTTCATTTATAAATATTGAAATATTAAAAAGTTATGTATTTAATTGAATACAGAGCGTATTTTATTTAAAATTATAGGGTATCAATAATGTATTGTACCTATATGTTTTTATACATTACTGCAAGAATATATAAAATAAGCTTATTTAAAAATCGGTGTCTTATGTTAACTAAGTTTATAAATTAGTTACTCCAATTATTAATTACCTACATATAATATTAAAAATATTCAATAACATATAATACATATACATAATACATTGCAGCTTTTAAATTTAAATTTTACTTTATACTTTATAATTATAAACATCTACTAATTTAAATTTTATAATGTGTCTTATATACGCAAATTACTACATTATTTTATATAAAAACAATAATAATTGTTCATTTTTTTTATTTGAATATAATAATGGAATTACAAAAAGTTATGTTATACTGATTGTAAAAATTTCAACAGAAAATAAAGCTGTAATATTACTATATTTAATACATTCACGAAATGATACTATAATTTTATTTAAAAATATCTATTGCAATTTTTTGCTTTAAAACATCCAAATGTATTTACGAAATCTTAAGATTTTGTACACAGTTTAGTATTTTTAAAAGAATCTTAATGTTTTCATACTAAAAGGCAAGAACAATGGCATAAAAATTCCTATAAGTAAATTTTAATAACACACTTATGTATTATAAAAATGAGAACATTAATTTTATATTATATTACACATAAATATAAATAATAAACTACTATTTATGTAGTGACTATATAATATGGGTGATAAATAAATCATAGATGTTTAGAATACTTAATTAAGTTACACAAATTTATTAACACGAGAGACGTTCAACATTATTTAACTCGATATATTTTTATCTTCTTTTAAAGAATAATGAACTAAACACAGGTATAAAAAATTTTCATTATAAAACTTTGAGTGATAACTATGTATGAAACCAAATATTTTCTAAACACACAAAGAAGATGGGTGGTCAAATTTATTTTTGAAAAAACATATAATAACAGTTTTCTTAAAAACGACGACCCGTTTTGTCATTCAGTAGGGAAAATACTCGCCTATCTTATAGGTTTCCAATGAAACAGTGATTAGTGATTACCATTAACACCATAAAGATCATGAACACACAATCCAGAGAATTGACTGAAAACAAAACGACGTATTAATTTTTACGTACAACAGATAAAATGCATCTCCTGCAAATTACAGTGTCACAGAGAGTCTAGTTCATGATTCCGGTCACAAAACATTTGAAAGATTACAATCGCCAATAGATATATGCAAGCAAGCTCATTCATTCTTCGAAACTTATATCATAGTAGTGCAACTTCTTAAAGAATGTGCATCAGTCCTTTACAATGAAGAAATTAGAAATGGGCTCATTTAGGTATAAATATCAATTTTTTTAAATGCAGACGTTGACAGTAAGTACTAGGTATTTTTAGTTGTCCAAATATAATTATCAAACTGTAAGTAAATTGTTTAACAGCGCTTTAAATTGACTTTTGCCGAACGGGATTGAATTATTTAAAACTTTTTTTATTTCTAACTGACGCTGCGCAATGGGAATAAAACAATCGATTTATTAACTGTTTTATTTTCAACTATAATACATGTGATTTGTGCAACCCATAGATCATTCAGTATTTATGTGACAATAAGACTTGAGTATTCAAACATCAGACATCTTCTACATAATAAGTTGTATTAAAAAAGTATTTTTTATGACCATAATATTTATATAAATGACGACTAAAGAGAGAGATCTGAACAACTGAAATTTTTTAAAATATTCTATATAGCTAACTTAGCTAATGTCTTCCAAATTTTGTTTTATACGCTAAATCTAATAAATATTACTCTATCAGTTACTAGTGTTAGTAAATATAAAGAAGCATTTTCAAACTAAAGCTAGTTAAAACTAAATAACATCTATGCTACAAAATCGACTTAAATATTTAATTAAGATCAGCTTTGAAAGAGTAGTTAAAGAGTAGTTTAACCGAATTTCAAAAATATAATTATTTCTAAGACGGGCAAAAGCTCTTTACTAAATAATAGTTAAATATGCCGAACAATCAAATTTTTGTACTATTGTACTATTACGTACATAACGTGTAGTGTAGATACTATTAAGTACTTAATATACAGAATGGCCCACAAGGATATAGGTACTATAAACCATTTAAACCAAACCCAATTATAGATTATAAATTTATAAACCTATATACATAATTTATTTATACTTATTTTTTCATGTATTATATTATTTCTTTGCAAATGTTATATCTAATCCAGTAATTTAATGTTAATATGTTCTATCTACCTTGCTACATACTAACCGTTTAATTTATGTATTCTTTAACTATACTTGAGTCTTTACAGGAGTTTAATCAATCAAATGAACAAATAAATAAATTTATTTTCCTTATTGATAACGTAGAATATTGTAGATTACTCGAAAAAAACATATTTTTTAACACGTAACAATATAATTATACTGTATTGAATCAAAAATAAACTTGGCTAGAGTTATTGATGAAACTTTACCATATAATAATATATTAACCTTTTAGATGTTTATAGTTAGGTCCTTTCAAAGATAAGCGATGGAGCCAAGACTGTGTAAGTTCTTTTGTTTCTTCATTTATCATTTGTTAAAGCCTATATATTATTACGATTTTATTCGGGACCGTGAATACAGATATATTAATATAGATTATTTTTACCTTCCTTGTATCACCGGAGTCTACGTGTGTTCTTTCTGTCTTGAATGTACTTGAGTATATAGATATATTTTCTTATCTGATGGGCGTTGATAACCGGATGTTAATAATATTAGGATGTGAATTTAACATACCTACATTAAATGAATAAAACAAAAAAATAGTTCGATTATGATTTATGATATTATTTTAAAACTTTTCAACGGGTGAAAGATCGATTTAGACTATTAAATTAATACTCTCTTGCTTTTGAGAATAATGGTTGTGAGCTTCTGTGAGGAAAGGCTGATGACTGGATGTAGACTACTCGATGGAGACAAAATCTTTGATGAAGACTTGACTAACTTTAATGTCAGAATAGGAGTCTACTTATAAACTTGATCTTTTACTTATTATTCCATTTTAATTTGTTATTGTTTATTTTGTATAAATACATCTGTATAATAAAAGCATGTTTTTTATGATATTAAGTATTTAACAAATAAAAATTATATTATTACTAATTGTTTGATAATTATTTTAATATATTATTGTAGTTTGAATTTACACATGTTTATTGGGTGTTATTGGTAATTTGTTAGATATTGTAATATATAATATAATTATAAATACAAGTGTTAATGATATAATTTTGATTTTTATAATATTGTTTATGGATTTGGTTATTTACTAAGTATTAAGATGAATGATGAACAATATTATTATAATATTTAATTATAAAGCTTTGTGGCTTAATAATGAGATTATCATTACAATACATGTTTAAATTGTTATATGAGTAAAATCAAAAATTTATCGATGTAAATATTATACCTATCTGTTATTTGCTGCGCAGCATTAAAATTCAATATGACGTATTAGTTTCTCCACAACATTATAACTCAGTACTAACAACTTGTGATAGGTATTTGGTGTAGTTGATATCTACTCGTTTTGTATGGTTAATTTTATAAAAATATGAATGCTCAAAAATAATTTACGTATATTTCAAAATAATAAAAATGGACTAATAAAAATTAAGTAAAAAGTCATCGAAAAAACTTCCTAGATAAATAACTGATATTTCTTAAGAATTCCCGTATTAATAATATATTTAAATTAATTCCGTTTAAAATTTGACAAACACATATTATACGCACAAAAACTATACCATAAATTACCAGCTGTAAGTAACTAAAATGTAATGTGGGAAGAAAAATTCACTAATTTTATGAGGAAAATAATCATAAAGTTTTAGTAGTATAAATAAGTATTTAATTTTAATTTGTAAAGGAAATATTACACTTAATGTATGAACTGTGATTTTTACCTGTAATGGTCCATGTGAAAACTTATAAATACACCTCAACAAACAAATTACAATGTTGGTTGTTACTATCATCATTGTTAAATTTACTACAGCTCATCAAACATCCAAATGAATTTAATTACTGAAAGTCTGACAACTCTGACTGATTCAATTTATGCACTATACCATGTTAAAAACTAAAAATATAATATTAAATACCTAGTCGTTATAAACATTAACATACTATACTTTAAATAGCAAATTTAAATTTAACAGAATTAACATAGTTACTTGAAATGATTTCTAATTATTTTGTATTTTCATTTTTGTCCTGGTTATAAATTCCAAAAAATTACAATAACTACTGCAAAGTCAAATTTAAAATCAATAAAATTAATTATTGCATAAAGATTTTTTTTTTCAATGGTATTCAAAGTTTTTAATAATACATATTTTTAAAAACCAAAGGTTAGGTTAATCACAATAACACATTAATATCAAATTGAACAAATATATAACATATATTTTAACGTAAACTTTAAATTTTAAAAATTATATGTAATATGTACACAATTCGCTATTTAATTTGGTAAATATTTAGTAAGTAAAAAATCATTGCAACATTTTGATGGCTTACAACTATTTAAATTTCTTCATAATTAATACTTCACAACTTGTGTTGTTTTCTTAAATGTGATTACTCGGAATCTGGACGCCGGTGCCCTACATTCAAAAGAAACATAGTATAATAGTATACCAAAGTCAATAGAAATTCATAATTATCAGTAAATAGGTATATAATTTGTATTCAGTAAAGTTTGAGGTACATAAATCAAATTGTCATCAACACTAAACCATTATCAAATTATAAACGCACTGTGTGTGTATCAATTTTTCTTTGAACAGGTCTATTTGGGACAATTTTAACCATTATTGCACCATTCGATGAGGTCAATTAAATACAATACTATACAATATGATAAGAAAAAAAATGATAACATTTTATTACATAATACAATAAAAATTTTGTAAAATCAGTACAAAAAATTACAAATAAATCAGTAAACGTAAAAAATCTTTTATTGCGTCAGTGGACGGTTAACGAATAAGTATTTTTTTTGTGAGTGTATTCACCCATATGATTGATGGAAGACACTGGGAAAGGGAATAATTAAATAATAGAGAGCTACAAAGGGTGGAAATCAGTAAATCACAATCATGTTTATACATAGGGTACTTAGATATAAATATAAATAATTATAATAATAATAATATAACTCACAATTAACTATTAAGTAACTGTTTTACATACATGATTTATAATAAAATTGTATTTAAATAATACTTTGGTGCAAACTCTTCAGAAAATTTACTAGTCATCAATTATTTGAATCCATGTTCTGTAACAAATAATATTATCGGCACATAAATAAACACATATATTTTAAGTTTAATTACATAAATAAATCACAATAACTCAATCACACATAATTTTTTTCAATTATTATGATTTGGAAAGTCATTAAGAGGGACTATCTTACTAATACTACCGACTTATATTTAAAAATACTTAGCGTGACAAATTTTAATAGCGCAAAGGAATAAGCTTACTATTTTACGTTTGACATTTTTTATCTTGCGCACATTAGTAAGGAAGTACGAATAAAAATCAACGCATATAGTATTCAAAATTTAAATTATGAGAACAACAGTAATGACTAAGTTTTTGTTAAAAAAAAAAAATATTAATGATAGATCGGGACACCAAGCTCAACATGTAGGTAAGTATGTCTCCCGGATCCGAGTTCAAATTTTATCGAAATAAAAACGTAACAACTCACTTTCTGCTGCTGTAGGAGCGTAGTGTTCCTTACGCCCTGGCTAGCCAAAAACGTGGTAACCGAATCGTCGCTGTCACCGTCTCCGCCGTCATCGTCGTCATCGTCACTGCTCGACCGGAACTCATCGTCGTCGTCGTCCAAATCGCCGGTCATAGCAGCCTGTAGGTCGTCGATACGCTGCAGCGCTAGAGCCAGATCGGACTTGACGGTGCTCACTTCAGACTCTGCCTGTTCGGCTCGCTTTTCTAATGCCCGTTTGCGATTCACATCTGCCGATTCCCGAGAATCCCTTTCAGCCATCGACTCCCGGGCCTCCCTCAATGACCGCTGCATTTTGCGCACCGCCTCCTGTGCAGCGTTCTCCTTGCATTGGGCTGTCTCGCGTTCGGTCTCCAACCGATCCACGGTTTCCTTTAGCCGGGCTATCTGCACCTCTAGCCGGGTTCGGGTGGTCAGCTCTAGTTGCAGCTTAGACTCGAGCTCGGTGACCCGGAGCTGCAGCCGCTTCAAGTTCAACGAGCCGGCCGGGTCGCCGTGTGTCTCCATGTTGTCCAATCGGAAGGTCAGCTCGGCTAGCCTCTCCTGTAAGTTGGCACGGTCCGTGTCCAACTCAGCGATACGGCTCGCCTGTTCTTGTTGCACGGTCTGCTCGGCGCTCAGCTGTTGTACCGTACCTCGGTACTTCTTCAGCACCTCGGCCAGCTCCTCTTCGTTCTCGTCCAACTGGCTCTGTAGGTGATTCTTGTCTCGCGCCAAGCCAGCTGCACGCTCTTCGGCCGTACGTTTAGCCGCCAGCGCTTCGTCCAACGAAGCTGTCACCTCAGCCAAATCAGTTTCGGCTAGGGTCCGGGCCTTGAGTGCCGAGTCCCTAGCGCTCTCCGCGTCCTCCAGCTGGTTCCTCAACTGCCGCATAGCTATGCGGTTCGCTTGACTGTCACTGCGTTGTTCTTGTACCGTCTGTGCATCCCTAAGCAACGCTTTGAGTTTCTTTATATCCCGCCGAAGTCGAGCAATCGATTCCTGGTCGTTCATGCTCCGACATCGCTCCCTGTCCTCAGAATCGACTAGGCGCCTCTCTAGGTCATGACGTTCTCGGATTAGGGCCGTTCTCTCTTCGTGCTCGTTTTCGATCTCACATTCCAACGCTTTGATCTTCTTTGCCGCCGAACACCGAGTTTCTTCGTTCTCTTGTTCGCGTTGAGCCAACTCTCGTCGATGTTCCTTCCGTTCTTGTTCGAGTCCCATCTCCAGGCGAGTTTTTACTTGCTCCAGTAACTGTACCTGGCCAGCTAGATCGTCTAGTTCTTCTTCTTGGTCTTTGAGCTTACTCTCCAGTTGATGTTTTGAACGCTTGAGTGCTGCGACTTCTTCCTCTGTGTTACCGCTAAACGTCAACTCCTGTAACTCACGATTCAAACCGACGACTTTCTGTTCTTTAAGCTCCAACTCTAATTTGACACTCTAAAATCGAAAAAAATAAATATAGGTACTTATAGATTTGATTTTTTAGTGAATTCCAGAGAAAACTTACACTCAAAGTTTGCTCCATTGAAAATTTATCCGACATGGCCATGTCTTTTTCTCTTGTTATTTTTTCCCTTTGAGCTTTTTCCTTCTTCAACTCCTCTTGTAATGAATGTAATTCTGTGTCGAATCTATAATAGTTATTCATATCAATTGTACAATATTACTAAATAAATGTCACCCGACTAAATTTAATTACACAAAATTATTTGTACCGATAATCCAATAAGAATTTAACTAATTAATACACTTTTTTATGAATAAATCATTCGTGTAGAACACTAGTGATAGTAGTACAATTAGCATTGAAATATGAATGTAACAGATTTACATTATTATATAGTAAACCATAGATAACATATAACGTCCAATTGTATTACTTTAAATCTGTATTCATGAGAAAATATTTTTTAAACTTACTTTTTCTGTTTCTTTTCCAGTAAATTATTTCTCGAATTACTTTCTTCTAACATAAGTTTAAGATCGTTTGATTCAGAATTTAGCTTATTAACTTTTCGTTTCCATTGAGCAACAATTTGACGTTGTTCTTCTACGTCTTCATAAACACCAGCCAACTTAAAAATTATCATTATTATTATTAATTTTAGTATAATACACACATAATATATTTACGTATATATTGACTTGGAAAAAAAATAGATCAAATATATTAATACTCACTTTCTTTTCAAGCTGTTTTTTCATGGCCAATAGTTGCTCCATGTCATCATTATGCTGTTGTTGTAATCGCTTTTTAGCGTACTCCAACTCTCGACAAACGCGCTCATATCTCCGTCTATAATATTGATCACCCTTATCGCTATTCGCTACAGCACTATCGTCATCACTCATGGTTCCGGCTACAGATGATGACGATGACATCAACGAAGGATCAGTGGACCTCATGCACAGCAACTGCATTTCTAATTGTTCATTAGTTTCAGCCATTCGGGTCTTAACAGCCTGTGTCTCCAGTAACTCTTTTTCCAAGCGTTGTCTTTCGGTCGATTCTAACTGTAACCGCTCAGAAACCATAGTTACTGTGGAATGCTCTTCGGCTAAGTCAGCAGTTGTTTCCGCCAACTAGAAACAGAACGCAAAAGTACATTTTAGTTACAAGTAACTTACTGACAACTGAAATGGTAGCCATAAACCTTATTCTCGTGGAGAAGTTCAAGAAGTTTAGCATTAAATTCTGATCTATGTTCAGTGGTGGAGTGACAAGACCGATATGATAACGGTGATACAGAACGCGAAACCGATCGCGACGGCGTTACACCGTATCGTCTTCTCATTAAAGCCGGTGTGAACATTGTTGTTACGGGAATGTATGGGAACGTAAAATGAGCAATGTTTGGGGAAGTGTCGGTCAGTTGAATGAAACAAGAATTTGTCTATTGTTGTTATACACAGTCTCGTCTTAAAATATCGGTCGCATAAAAATAGACCGGCCCCGGGAGAGGATACTAAATGCGTTTGGCCAGAGACCAATAAAATTACTAAACGGCAAATACTCTAATGCAAAAAATACACGACCGGAAAGTTTGAAGAATTTACTACTTACTCTCTGTTCGAGTCTATCGTTATCCATTTTCAACTGCGATCGTTCCTGTTCCAACTTGTCCACTTTATTCCTTAATTGTTCCAGTTCATCCTAGAACACACAACAAATTTTAATAAAATACAATAACTTACCAACAAAAAATCTAATTTTTAGTATACGGTACTTACAGATTTCTGTTTAAGTTCATATTCGGTTCGGTGGACGTTGAGCAAAGGCGTGATTCTAACCAACAGTCGCCACCATGGCCAATCTCTAACGACCATGAATTTTTTAACATTTCGCTGTATGCACCGTACAGCGATATCGTTTACTTTTCGTTTAGCGTAGTCTTTTCGAGCAAGGTATCCACGACAGCGAGCTTGTAACTGAGTAAAGATGTCCGATAATTTTTCGTCACGTTGTGATTCAAGAGTTTGTAAGACATTAGCACGGAAAAATATCTGATGAAAACAAATAAATAAAGAAAAGTTACACGTATGTTACACATATTGTACTTCAAACGCGCATACATAAGTATGCATATGTACAAAATAATATTAGTTATTTCATAGTCAACTACGCGATAATTTGTTTGTCATTTATTATTTTAAACTTGTATCAAATAGTATTTGTGATATTTTTGTTGAACAACAATTCTTTAATCTTATAAAACAACGACGTTCAAACAGTAATAAATAATTATGTGACACACAGTATACATTCAGAAAAATTAGATAAATAAATAACTATGCAAAATCTAACATTCTACAAATGTAAATCATTAAATACATAAGAACTAAAAAAAAAAAAATTAATCTGATTAAAAAATTCCTAGTAAAACAAACTATAATTAATGTAGTATCGTGAGTAATATATGTAAATTTATACTTATATATATATATATATACTCGTATAAGTTAAAAAATGTTTTATCACTAAGTATTTTTTTTATTTAATATCAACTTATATATATATATATATATATATGATAAAACATTTTTTAGCTCTAAAATTATTTTTTAACACGTTTATACACTGTACTCGTAAGACGAATAGTGATACAAAATAAGATTTTCAATTTAATTTTTAATATTTAACAAGTAATTCTTATTTAAAATAAATAATTACGTTATGTACCTACATCAAACATCAAAATATGACCAAATCGTACCGTTATAGTAAAAAAAAAACAGAGATTCAATTTTAATAAATAAGACCTAATAGGTACCTACCTACATATAACATATAAGTAATATCATTTTATTGATTTGTTCAAGTATTACGTAAATAAATAAACTTACTTTACAATCAAATAATTTAAGAGAAATAAAACAAATATGTTGTACATGTGTATAGTTTTATCTAGACCCGAAATTAAATAAGTACCTAATATTTTTTTTAATGCTTGAAAAAATATAAGAAATGTATTGGTTTTCAAGTATGTATTTTTTATTTTATTTAACCCCGTCTAATCTTTATAAATTTATTGAAAATATGGTAGTAATGGTCATTTATAAATAATAAGTGTTTGTTAAAGGTAAAAAAATAATTACTGATTAAAAAAAAAAAAGAATAAAATTGATTTTGAAGGAATAAATTTTCAAAATTGTTCTTAGATTTAAAATTTTTACCAATTACTTATTTGAGATAACTTTTAAAAATTATTTTTAAACTTAACTTTTAGAATCCTGGAAATTTTATATTTTTTTCTGCTTTATGATTATATCAATGAATCGAAATATTATTTAAAAAACCTATAATTTAAATTGAAAATTAACCATACATTATTCAAACTAAAACTTGACTTTTGAAGATTACCATGTTAATTTATTTATTATAATTTTTTTACATATCGATGAAATTTAATATTTTTACAAATACATTTTTTTTTGTTTAATAAATAATTTAAGTTTAATCTTTCAGGCCTGATTATTTAAATGTTTGAGAATAATTTTTTTAACTATAAGAATTCAAAATAATATTTTGAATAATTGAAATTTTTTACATTCACATTTGATTAGCTGAGAAATTTTTAGTTGTACGTTTAATTATATTATTTGAAATATCTTCAAATTGCATTTTTATGTTAACTTAAAGTATTAAAACTTGACATTCTAATATAGATTATTTCCTACAATTACACTTAACAAATATTTAAAATATATTATTGTTATTATGATTCATTAACAATTTTTATGAGTAACCTAACCACTTTAAATAGGTAGTCTCATAGGTACTCTTATAAACTCATAAATGCAATAAAAAACTATGCACAGTTTTTCTACTTCGATGATTTATCGTTGCATTCAAATGTAATAACTAATATTTAATAACACACTACAATCATGAACCGAGGTGAGCGAAGTGGACCAAGTATCTATTCAAAATCAGGTCTTTGCATATCCTGTCCGACTTTTTTAAAATATATATATCATAAGGTATATAACTAAAATGCAATAAATAATATGATATTGATATTTATCATACCAATAGTGAAGCATAAAAATATGAATTTATACAAGTAACGACGTATAAGAAATATTGATCCAGTAATAATAATTTAAAACAACAGTGATTAAATATTGTTAACGACATAATAATAGCATTTTTAATATTAATTTTAAATTGATGGAGTATATTATTTTATATCTATAAAAACTACAACTATCATTTTATGCAAAAGAATTTCTAGAACAATAAGCCAGAAATATAAATTCTTCATTTCTTTAAATTGTGTTTTATTAGTTACAAAAATGTTTGAATCTATCGTTTATAATAACAGATTTACTGCATTCTGTATACCATATAGACGGCATATGTTATATTCGCCTTGCTACCCATTCTAAACAGTTAACTCATCAAACTTAATTGATCAACGTTAAGAAATTATGTGCAACTATTAAACACATTAAACATTTACACGTATATAACAGCATTGAATATTTTAACTTCTATGTGGTATTTGATATAACTGGTGAGAGGTCTTATGTTCTTCTCTGAATTTATGACCTAACACGTATATACGAGTAGTTATATTTTTTATAACTAGAGCTCATCTTTGGCTCTAGTCGTACCTATATCCAATAACATCATACAATATAATCGATGTCAATAACAGAGTATTATTATAAACTCATTATTTTCTACTCGGCGTCGTAAAAAATCAAAATAGATTTTGAAATAAAAACTATTGGGAGCAAATGGAATAATATATTACGCTCTCTTTTCAATGGAAATAATAATATACACGTTTAAAAATTGGCTATTAAAATTACAAATATTTTGATAAATTAATAATATTTCCTACTGAATATTTTTATGGAAATGATTTTAAACGGTGCCGAGTACTGGTGTACGCAGTTTATTTATCAGGCTTAGAATAATTGCATTTTAAACATATTAAATATTTTGTTATTTCAATAACCGTACTATATATATATATATGTGTGTGTGTGTGTGTGTGTGTGTGTGTGTTATTTCGATAATCTATTAGTTCGCTCGAAAGGTAAACGATATAACGCGAATGTGTGACGGATGTGTATTATGTACACAGAGTGTACCAACCTACGTTAATATTAATTACGACTTCGACCGTTACAAAGGACTCTTATGTTGAATGTAACAATAAGTGTTTCTATGTTATTTGTGATAAAATATAAATATTTAATGTAGTAATAAAAAATTATTAAAATTACAACGATAACAGAATAAGTGGTAATAGTAATAATAAATAAACTTGACTTGACTTTAATTGTTTTACGTATAAATATTAAATACCTATCAAAAGAGTAAGTCAGACTTAAAAACAAAACACTCACAATCAGATGTTTTATATTTTTCTAATTCGTTTGTTTGACTTTATAAAACGTCTTTTGTCTAATGGCGAAAATCTAAGTTCCAATTTCAATTTTTGACCAATAAATAAATAAATAAATATATAATTCAATTGAATACGTGTGCGACGCATTATAAGATAAGTAAGAATAAATAATACCTATCACATTTATTTGAAATCGTTGAAAATCGCTATTAGTTTTAATGTACGTTCCTTCATCGACAGAAAATTATATAATATTATATCAGCGATTCGAATCGTTATGAAAGATTCCCTAGGTAAACCTACCCAATCAAAAATCGATCAACCGTAAGAGTTTTTATTGTAAGAATGCTTTTTCCCGCATTACCGAATGCTCTCAACCTAAACGTCTATACGAAATTTGCATTGCAGTCGGACAACCGTCTAGCACAATTATTTGCATTCAGTCTTATAACACACATGTGAGCCCCGTTATATGCACTTTGTTTACTATATATGATTATTGAATTTATCCTATATATTGTAAAATATGTGTTTTTTACGGTACGAGCTGTGAATAAATTATTAACGACGGCCGCCTCTTCTGTATTATAGTGAACGTCTTTTAACCAGACTAACAAACCAGTTTGTATTTTTTATTTTGTCCAGATTAATCCCGCCGAAGCGGTATAACGGGAAATAGCACATTTGTTCTGGCACGCGAATCGATAAAAAACAACGGACACCAATACCAATCTACACGCGTACAGAATAATATAAGTTTACATTTCCATCAACATTTTTTGCCTATTTTTTTTGAAACGATATAACATATAAAAAGAGCAAATATTATCATTTAAATGACTCAAAAAAATAAAGCATCGTTTAGAAATCCATCTCGTGCAAGAAAAATTGCGTATAGTGAGTATGTGTGCAATAACACGAAGATGGTGATGTGGTGGTGCAAATTTCGATGAGCATAAGGCTTCATATAGACTGTTGTAATATTTTTTTGAGGGCACATTACTTTACATGTGTAATAATTTAACTAAAATAAAAACAGGATTATGTATCTTACAACAACAAAAAAGACTGCTCTCAAAAACTAGTTTTCGGAATGAGTGTACAATGTGCGTTGGTACCGTTGAAAAGCTGATATTAAAAATTATAGAGTATTATAATAATACGTTTTCTAGACGATAAACAAGATATTATAATATATTATACACTTAAACGTGAGTACGTAGGGGTACCTCGTGCGCATCACACATAAACTCGCTTTTAAAAAGTTCTCGGTATTTTATGTGTAAAGACATGTAATTAATGGTATATATTATTAGCAGAAAGCGAATGTTCACCAAATTTAAACACTATAAGGTTCAAGAAAAAAATTCTATTCGTATTATAATTGTATTGATTGTAGGCATCACGCCAACTAGCGAAATCTTTTTTTGTACTTCATACGCACAAATAGCATTAAGAAGATGCCACCACACCCGCTATTTAAGGAGTTTAACATAAGCAATTTTAAGGATAATTAAATTTTGAACTTTAAAAATGTTGAAAACTGGTCGTTTTTTCGTGAACTTATACCAATAAGTGTAGAGAGAGAAAAATAATACTTCTAGAAGTCGAATTTTAATTTTAAAAATATTCGATTTTTGT